CAGTCAATAGCCTGTGAGTAGATGGTATTATTAGAATTTAGACATTGTAATTCACACTTGATTGTAGTTATAATAGTATTCAAAGTTGGAATCAGATGATCATCACTGTGCTAAAACAGAGTGAGTCTGAATCCCACAATAATAAGGATGACAAATGTTTGGTCCATCACCTGACTCCTCAATGTGTTATTTTTTTCAGAAATTACTTCATTTTTTTAATGATATACCAGTGAATTATCCAAGAATAATTACAACTCAATAACGATTAAACATCAAAAATCGGGATCTATACTGCAGTTTGCCTATCAGCAAAATTACTGCGCAGAGTCGTAAATGATCATCCATCCTTGATAGATTATTACATGACACAAAAACTTTGAGAAATAAGCAACTCATAAATAACATACTAATATTAAATTCATTTAATAGCTAAATTCATGGACCAATTAAAGCTAGACTATCATGGAAAACCTGGAAGCACTGAACAACCGTTTCGTCCTAGTATGGGACCATCCCGCTCATGGGATTCAAACTCAGGACCTATCGCTCTCGCACGTGAACGCTTAAACTCCAGACCACTGATCCGGCATTCAATAGTGTTAATTCCTAAATTCAACTAATCCATGAAATGACACCACCGTCCATCATTATCTTCAGTGAGTTACTATCTCATAACAGACCTGCTAGTCTAGCTTTAATTAACTTATGAATACAATCATGAAATTACTAAAATCTCCACAAACCTTCCCCCTCCTTTTATCAAGTTATAAATAACAATTGTTCATTTTACTTTTATTATAGAGGAAATGTATCCATTGCCGAATATGAACGAGTATGTATGGCATATAAAGATTTATATAGACGTCATCAAGAATATGAACGAATTATTCTTAATTCAGATAATCAAAAATTTATTATTAAAAGTAATGATTTTCAATAGAAATGACAATATTGTTCATTTCATAATATTTCAGGTACTTCAATTACATAATAACGTTTGTTTTGATTTGTCATATTGTTTATTTACTAAAACATATAAACATTGGTACAAGGGGGCACGAAATAGATATGCACCATATAAATCATTCGACTTGTGTGAGGGATGGGATACTGCAAGGGTGCCCAAACCGAAGCAAGTGGTGTTGTTAGGGGACCGCACTCTGAGTTTTTGATCTAAAGGTCTAATCCACAAGGCAGTGGAGCAACGTCAGGAGATGCAGTCAGATGGTAGCCGGTAACCAATAATTGGTCCATACGCCATTTGTTCCCTTCAGGATCCTGGAGCCCATATGCATTACTGTAGAGCCCTTTATTTTGTCGTTATTTGGATCGGACGATGTTTTCGAAGGGCTCTCCACTTTAGTGGCCCGAGATCTGACTCCAAGTAGATCAAATGAATGTTTTTTATCGAAATATATATGTCGCCTATCCTCGTATATAATCATTGACTTAAATCACGTTAGTCCATAACGGGATTAAATAGGCCAAATAACGAGAACGGGCTTTTGAATACATATACATTGTATATGGAGCGAATGGAACAGAGTGAAGCGAAACAACGAACAGTGGAGATGGCGGGTAAGCCAACTCCCCTTAGTCAAGCTTTGATCAATATTTATAGTAACACAAAATTAAGTTACAGACATGTGATGAGTAGTGGGATAAGAAGTGTACACACACCTACGCGCTCATATAAAAACAGTCAAGATTGATAAGCAAATAATTAACAAGGTCAAAATGTGACTCAAGTACAATGAATAGATTGGGCTGTCCGAAAGCAAGAATAAGGTAGATGGGCTTAACATAATTATCGACACTACACCATTGGTTTGAAGAGTTTTCCAATTCCCCTAAAGGAATCCTCCATATCCACCAACCCGGTTAGAGCGCCGGATATTCGATTTTCGTCCTCTTAATTTTGTATACAACACCCTAGTCACGGGTGAGTAGGACTACCCTGTCAATTGTTGTATGCACTTGGCCATGTGAGAGCATTTCGAGAGGGAGACTCGAATCTCCCCACTCTCGGTTGTACCAGGGCATATGGGGTGTGAATTTAATTCAAGTTCCCTAAATCCCTAGAACACAAGCACCTTTTATTTAAGACTTTTCAAAGTTATTTCATGTGGTTTACAACTCGTATATCATCTATAGTGTACACTATATTACTTTTAAATAATTTGGAATATCTGTACATACTGTACTACATTACTACGATATGAAATCATGAACCAATCAATCTTAGACCATCATTAAAATCCTGGAAGCACAGGATGGCCGTTTCATCTTAATATAAGGCCCCCAAATGCCCTGGTACGGCCGAGAGTGGGGAGAGTCCGCTCTCCCTCTCGAAATGCTCTCACATGGTCATGCGTATATAGCCTCTGCCAGGAAAGTCCTACTCACTGCCTTCTCGTACCACGGGTGTTTTTTACGAAAATGAGAGGACGAAAAGCGAATGTCCGGCGCTTTAACCGGACCCCAAACCAATGGTGCACATGGGCTCCAGTATCCTGAAGGAACAAATGGCGTATGAACCAATCGTTGGTCACCGGCTATCATGGGACTGCATCTCCTTACGATGCTCCACTGCCTTGTGGGTCAGACGTTCAGGTCGAAGGCTCGGGGTGTGACCCCCCAAGAAAACCACCTGCTTCTGTTTGGGCACCCGGGCAGTATCACAGCCCTCACACAAATCAATTGAGATTCGTGTGGCGCATATGTATTTGGTGCCTCCCTGTACCTATACTTATGTGTTAAAATAATAATAATAATAAATACTTAATATAAGACTCTTCAGTAGTGCACATTCACAATCTCACACAAAACGTCTATCCAGTCCTTCCCTAGTGTTCAATAGTGATCCAACATTAATCGGTCCATGATCTCGACTAAAACTCAACAATCTCGACAAAACTATACTAATAATCACTTGTTTGTCATTTTTTTTATATTTCAGATTTGATATCAATGCACCATGATCTTGAAAGTATATAACTAATCTGAGATCATATATGTCCTGTCATATTAATGTCATTAATACACTTAATGATAAATCTAAACTAGATGGATATAATCCAATTAGACTTATCTATCTACAATTCATTGAAACAATAATAACAATTGAGATCTAATGTGAAATTTTTTAAAATATTTTTAATTATTACTTGATAATAAACAAAATTTCACATAAAATATTGAACTTCTGTTTATTATATATTGAATAAACAAAAATTAAAGTTTTAAAACCCTTCTCATTACCTCCCAGAAACCCTGATTATTTATTTGAACACATGAATATTGGTACAAAGGGGGGGCACCATACAATAACAATGAAAATAGGGAGAGACAAAGAATGTAAGGTGCGTGTAAAAAGAAAGAAAATCAGTGTATGGTAGTGAAACAGTAATAATAATGGGATAAAAAGAAAAGTATAACCAGAAAGAATCTTCTCAGTTAAAGAAGTTACGGTATATCTGATAACGTCTCAAGCCACTGTGTTGCACTATTTCTAGGACTCCAACCAGACAGCCGTGAAGAACCAACAGAAGCCAGTCCTGTACAGCTTTCTTTCATACCACGATATCATGTTATACACTGATCACCTCTTCGCACGACGATAAATTCTCTGGAACGACATTCGTAGAACATGTCCAAGCCACCGAAGTCCATGTCTCAAGATAGTGACACCAGTTGAATTGTCGTCTCTGCGCCCGAACACACGATACCGAACCTTTGTATTACTAACATGGTGTTGCCACTGGATGTTAGCAATCCTTCGAAGATAACGATGATTAAACACAGAGAGTCGTCTAGCATCCTCAAATCGAAGAGGCCAAGTTTCACAAGCATAAAGCAAAACTGCTCTCATCGACGCGTTTTAGATCTGATCTTTTCGTTCTCTCAATTTCGTAAACAACACCCCAGCCACGAGAATGCAGTGAGTAGGACTTCCCTAGCGGAATCTATATACGCGTGGCCATGTGAAAACAGTTCGAGAGGGAGAACGGACTCTCCCCAATCTTGGCCGTACCAGGATATTTGGGTCGAAAACCTCTTCAAATTATATTCTTTATTTATAATTAATTGTTTGTTCGGCAGCTGTTTATAGAAGGTCAAGTACAAACACCATATACCGTAAATCGCTTACCTTAAACACGGTAATTAATTCCACATTTCGATACAAAACTTTTAGATACACCTATTATGTTAAAGCTTGATATAATAACCGACTGTTCTAAGAGAAAGTACGACACAGTTTGAGTACAAAACCCACTTGTTGATATTTAAGTTTCGAAATCAGAGAATTATAGCGATAAGTAGGGACAAACCTGGGATTAATTATTCGCATACGTTTAAACTGATACTTATATAGCCTTCTACTATGAAACGACTGTCTGCAATTGATACAAATTTACCAATCTTCCTAATAAGCTGTAATGAGTTTACTCATCCATGTAGCAATGTGGAGTATTTTTTTTCTTAAAAAATTACTCTTTACGCCCCGTTAGATAAAATGAAACAGTAACTAGGATGTCACAGTCACACTTACATCAAATATGTACATTTAGGCATTAAAGTTTAAATATTAACTTAATGAACTACAGATACTCATCATGTGTTAGGAAATTACTTATTGATTGAACTATCATCACTAGATTTTTCTCCTCCCCCTAGTTCACAGTTAAAGTGCACTATTCAAATAAACGATTTAACATAAAAAATATGCAAGAAGCTAAAATCCCCAGTCAGGTGATCCAGAAGACTTTTTAAATGGGTAAGTACAAGAACGAATGGAAAAAATCCAGCTACGACAGATGTTAAGAAATTTTTCGCTCGTAATGTGGTTGATCGAATCGATATCGCTGGGACCTTTCTTTAGTATTTTGGTTCTACTTTGTCTAAATTAAACATAGGGTAAAATACTAACTAACACTGTTAACCCAAAAAGGGCACCGACTTCTGTTGCAATAAAAGAAGATACAATTCATCTTTTTTTCGCTGGAAAATGACTATATTATCCATAAAAATATTATATGTACACAATTGTAGTAGGAACTTCTACTCGTCATCTTGCGGGGTACGTATACTTCGGTTAGACGTAGGACGTCGTTTGAACACAATACGAGCTGTTGTGGTAGAATTAGGTTGTCGTACTTTAGTATTCTCACTACTGGTTTGCTTAGTGGTCTCAGCTAAGTGACTACTATGAGTAGTTACCTGGTCTTTAGGACTGAAGAGGGTTGGATTTTCGTAATATTTTTCTGTTGTTGTTTCTAACTGTGCAAGTACAGCCAGTTTTCCATCTAAATTTGGATATCCAAAGCTTCCGACATCATTGGAAGCATCAGGGAGATCAAGCTTGGGTAATTTGGGCCTAGGACTTTATCACAAGAAAAAAAACAAGATTCGGAGACACTAAGTAAAATAAAAAACATAATTGTACTGAGATAATTAAGACGGTAAAGGCTTGTAATATTATTGACGTAATTAAAAACAGTATATTATTAACTGTTAGTGAAAACCGCTTACAGTAAATGAAAAGCCTCGAAATATAATGAATTTATTTTACCCTGCAAATCTAGTCGTTGTCGCTTTATTTCAATAGAGAAATAGGTAAATATCTAAAACCTACGAAAAGAAACTAAATGCTTATCCCATTGAGCCACTTCATCGATTTTGGGCTCATTTAACATAATAGCTCATTAAACTAGTATTTACTTTTCTACACCATTGTAACCAGCAATAATTTATTTCAAAGTTTGTTATTCTAGACTCCGGTCAAGTTTGACGTATTTTAACCCACTACTTCAATTAAATATGTTTTATAGGTGGCAGTTCCATACTCACACTGTATAATGTTGATACTTCAATCATTGAGTATTTACATTCTTATCAAATCGCTTGCCATTATTAATTGGAAATCAAAAAATTACTCAAACATTCCTTACTTGAATTCTACTGAGACGACTTCGGTTTAGGTAACTCAGTAGAATCCCTATCGTTCAAATAATTGCAGCTATTTTAGTAGGTAAACAGGTTCTAGTGTAGCCCTCACACATATCAAATGAGATTTGTGTGGCGCATATATATTTGGTGCCTCCTTGTACCAATATCCATGTGTTAAAATAAATAAATAAAACTAATATATTTCAACAGAAATAAAAATATGAACTTTTTTCTGGTTCAATAAATGAAAAACGTTTGTGGACTACTTACGTATCACCACAAGGAACCCACGGACCAAGTAAGTCAATTTTTGGACCTTGGAATTGAACAGATGTTGAGAGGTCCACACTTTTCGGCTTCTTATCGGATGTGCCATCCGATATTTTTTCTATGATAGGCTCGATATCTGATGTAGGTACATTAAACACTTGTAGTACTGCCTCATTGGCTCCTTTGGATCCATATTCGCTTAACTCCACAAGACGATTTAAGACGAACTCTTTTAGTCTGGTTTTTTCTTCTTTCACTGGTCGTTGGTCCGGCTCTATAATGCCATCTGGCCGTGTCCACTGAGCAACACGAGTGGCCACATTCCAATAATAATGTTTGCCATCTGGGGTAATTGATTCCTTCCAAATATTTGCACGACTGGATGGATCAGGACGAGATTTATCAGCAACTGATTTCTCTGTTTTACTAGAAGACTCTTCGTTCAATTTTCCTTCACATGGTGACTCTTCGAATTTCAAATATAACGTAAGACAAATAGTTACTTGCTAGCACGACTCCATACTGTTTTGCCAATGATGGGTCTCTTTCTAGATCTTTCATCATGCTTAAGTGAGCACTCTGGATATTTAAAAGGATAACTTGGAATTTAAGACAATTACATCGTTTATTTGTTGTAAGCACGCCTCTAAATTCTTCCTTTCCATTTCAGCACATTTATTACTACGGGTCAATTCATTAACTTTTTTAGCCACACTAGCTTTATGACGCATACCATTCTCATGATTTTGAATGCTCTGTTTAAAGTATACGTGGGATAATAATGAGAAAGGAATTAATATCTTACGATTTTGTTGTCAGTCATCCAACATTTGCATAATTCGCAATACTTCTTTGGGTTACTTTTCCAATAATCAGCCATACCAACTAGAGATAGTCACTGGAACAACAGAACGATATTATAACATATACAGAAAATTAGGCATACGATACGAATAATTTAGAATTCGTCAACAAATAGGATTGGACAAGAAAATTTCAAAAAGCGTTTACGCATTATATTGTGGTTCTGATTTTAATGACACTCACCATTCGATAAACTCCATATTGCTTAGATTCAAAAAGCTATGCATGAACATATATGTATCCACTGTTACGAGACAGGCAATATGGTAAATAAATATTTAATTAGGCAGCAGAAATACGAGAACCAGTACCAAGTCGGGCATGCATATCATGTGGTCTTAAAAGGTATAACATGTTGATGTTTTTTGTCGACTCGAGCCGTTCATTAATGCATATTTATAAAATATGACCTTCACCAGTTTAAAATAAGTTGAGCATTGGGTAGAAAATTAGCAATAAATATTCTTTTTGATATCCCTATGAATAAAAAATTGTATTTTTGGTGTTTTGTGACTTAGCGAAAGCCACTTCTTCAGAGCAGATAAATGAATAAAATGAAATTAACCCAAGTTGTGTTAGTTTTATCTCGGTTATTTTCTACTCTTTGGGATATCACAAGAAAATATATTTATCATGATCTTTATTATGTATGAAGTGCACTTCCTGAATAAAAGGTGAGAACCATCGGGATTTAAAAAATATTACAAAAAAATGGACAGCAGAAGCACAAATAAATACGTACCGTTCCCAAATCTTTTGTTTTAATGAATTTTGAGAACATGAGTAATGAAGAGCTTAATACTTAGAAAAAGTGTGATATTATAAGGACAAACATTTACTAACAGGAAGGTAGCAACATTCTGAATACTACCTACTCATCGAATGCACCACCTCTGTTATGAAGAGATAATTGTTAAACCGCTTGACATTTAATAGCATCCACTTAAGTTTTAGTCATGCTATTTTCATCCAAAAGTATATGCTAAATGCAAAAAAGGCAGTGACACCGTAATTTAAGGGCGACTTGCAAACAACGCTAAAGTGGCCCTCAGACAACTCACCTGTTTATCGAGGTCAAAAGAGGGTTGTAATCTAATATGTGGACTTAGGATCGAGTTAAAATTTATGGTTAAGAATCAAAGGTATTCATCACAAACTGACAGCTAAATTGTAGCGGTTAGCGTTCGACCAAGTATTCCACGTACTAGTGGAGCATTAAGAGTGCGTGAAGGCTAGGAAAAAGAAAGCAAAAGGTTAGTCGACGACACAGGAAAAGCATACGATGCACTTAAATTTAATGACGAAACCAATCAACAACAATGAGAAATAACACAACCCTCAAGCTCAGACCATCTTGGAATCGAAACTAGGAGCAGATGTTCCAACCCACCACATGTATGAATGTATTTCGCGTTAAAATCCGACTTGCTATCCTTAACCCCACTGAATTGTCTATATAAATAATAGTCTTGCCAAGAAAGTAAATCAAAAAAGGCAGTTTGCAACAAAGTAGTTAGCTGACTAACAGAAAAATTAGTAGGAGCATTCCCACTAGCAATCTAATACTATCAAACCCATTTCTGTATTTGAGACATCGTTGCATCTGTGAAGATGCACACCTACTTAGCAAAGCAGATATTAATATCTGACAAAAATGAGGAAGTCCACACTACTTCCCCCAGAGAGGCGAAAAAGCAGACATTTTGGCGCGGTTCCTCGTTATTTTTCAACGCAATTTCTCCTTTATTCGGCTTTATTTCTCCTTTGTTGGTTGATTGGGTTGTGATAATCACACGACTAACTCCCAGTATTTTCAAACACAATGTGATAACCATTTTCAACCACGTCTTATCAAGATATTACACAATTTTGCGACAAATAAAAAAGGGGTTCACATGAAGAAAATAAATATGAATTACGTCAACGACTGGGGAAACTCGACCAGTTGTCTGTAATTTCCAATGGATTGAAACCCCCAATGATTTGTGTGTAGATTAACGACGTAATTAGCTTACAACTAGCTGTCAATGACTTATTAAATATATTGATCAAACCAATCAGTCAATAATTTCGGATCAAAGGCCGCCCTTCTTACCGTGTTGCCGACAAGGATCAAACCTCCCTCTTCCTCACCAACAACCTTGAATAGCTGGATTCACAGCCGAAAATCCAGAAATCACGAGATAGTAATAGGTGATTGCCCCCTGTATTTATGTATTCGAAGATAAAAAATTCCGTTGCTTGTGTTTTTATGGGCACATCTTTCTAGTGTTCTGATACGAATTCAATAAACTGTCGTCTGAAAGTCTCAGAACTCCTTGAAAAAAATGTTATATTTCAAAACACCTACAATGTCTAATTCCTCTGGGACGGGATCACACAAACGGATTAATACCCTTCTTTCAATCCATGTTGTCTCAGGATGATTGGCGGTCAGTGATAATCTCAAATAGGCGATAGTTTGTCAGTCCGACCTCGCTGATTCTATTCAGTTTAGCAGTGATATGTGGGTTGGTATATTTTCTAACCCGAGTGAATATGTCCTTATCAGGGCTTTATGATTTTCAAAACCAGTAGCTATTACACAACCGGATAATAGGTTGGTTGGTTGTTCCCCAATATAAAAGATAATTAAAATATTATTGAAATGCTAATAGAAGACGATCGTTACAAGAACTGAGAAAGAAAATAAATAAGTGTGGCACTTCATATAGACATGTCAAATAGACGTGATTTCATACACATTCTGGAATACAGTGCTTGACTGACCATATAACTGTCAAGCGCGTCAATTCAATTCTGTTGGTTAATATGTACTCAGGTTTGTGGCCAATTCGAATGCCTTGTATGCGAATCTTCCCGAAAATCCTATGTCTGGTTTCCCGTCCATCTGTCTGTTTGTAAGTCAGATTCCATTACTACATTGATCCGTAAATATTTAGAACATTCTAGTTAACCAATCAAAACAATGTAGATTAGATCATTCATGTGCAATACTAGATTTATCTCACTACTATGCAGCTGCTGATTATTTTACTACAAGTGTTATTTTTATTTAAGTGCAGCCGCCTGTGGTTCCACATGTCAGTATCAATCTGAATACAATTCAATCACAGAAATGCCCAATTCCTGTGTAAATCCAGTAAAACAACTATTCCAGTCTGTGTGTCAATTCAAACCACTTGTACTTTGACTGTTTATTACTGGTGAAACAAATTACTGAAACACATATTCGAAAATATCGGTATTTTAATTATTACCAAATTCATTTGTTCCCAGTAATCGAATATAATGATGGCGAACATAGTTAATAATGTGAGCAGTGTGAGATCGAAGTGTAATATTGAGACGGGAAACGGGAATAACGATAAGTGAGATAAGAATAAGTTATTGATATGCCGTAATGATAATAATGGGTAACTTACGCAATATGCGTCAAGTACAGTTAGTCCAGACGTGTGAAAAAAATTGGGAGGGCACACGGGTTTACATCTTTTGACGTGGAAGTTTTCAAGAGTTTTTTTAAGGTGAATGAAGAAGATATCCCTGTGAAATGTTCGTGTTGAGGTGACTTAGAGTACTGAATATGTCGTGTTCCATTGTCAGATTAGTTCTTCGTCTCTGTAGCGCGGAGGAAATAATCATCGGTGCCGGAGTCTGTCTTCATAAGATTTGTTTTACAACTTTGTCGTCCATTTAGTCTCTTGTCTCTGTACTTGGTCAAACAGAATTGTATTTCTTTTAAAATAATGAGACGCAACAACATTGTAGACTTGGAGATGCATCCATGATAACATTGTGAACAGTGTTATAAGCAAGTCTGATGTGATTTCAACGATTTGTTCTCGATAAAGTGGTGGTTCGCAGTTGCCTTGATTGCATCTTCAATGTTGTTTCAGCTGGAATCTGTGTTCTCTAGGATTAATTTTTTTATATCACAGTTTGCGGGGAAGAGGATTATCATGCAGTTGTTTATTAGTTGTGGGTCCGAATATTCATATCATGATGTTTTGACAAGTTAAATTGTCCGCTACCTACATACTTAGTGCCGTGCTATAACATCGAAGCTCCAGTGAACTCGTTTCTCTTCTTACGGACCTACAGATCCTCGCGTTGTCTCAATAGATTAGTGCAACTAGCTTATTTTGGCTAGGGACTTATCATTAGAGACCAGGAAGATGAATTAAAATAAGACTGTCCACCGTGAAACACCTATTGATGGGGCACCCTGGCTAGCATGTACTCAATTCACTTTGGTACGAACACGTCTCACAATAGACGTGTGTCAGTGAAACCTATCCCCAATTTAGGAGTGTGTGTGGTGCTGTGTCAACCGCCTTTATGAATTACGGGAATACTAAGTGCAACAGCATCCTTTGTTCTCGGAATCCTGTCCAGCAGTCCCATCCTATGGGAAGATGGAACTTAAATAACTCCATTCTAAACATGTTCTGGCCTTCATGAAGAGGGTTTGTTTCGCCAATGCTTTCTCTCGTCTGATGATTTTTCTCTCTTCCCACTAACACTGACAGTTTTGTGAGTGATGTGACAGTTCTGTAGCAGACTGGATCTTTCATCCCTCCCAATTTAAAAACTGAAGAGAAATGGCTATGCTTATTTGAAACCAAAAAGTCAAATAACCATAGTTATTACTGCTTTCTGATGCTTGAACACGGACCTGTTCGATCAGATTATTTGTTGACATACAGTCCAACTTGATGGTATTTCGTCTCTTAGCGTTAACTATATACTGAACGAGGCCAAAATGTTTGACGATTTCTATGAGTTGCTTGTGAAACTGTCCTCCAGATATCATACCACCTATACATTAATTTACGGATGGGGCATTGAAGTCACTAGCTATAATTATATGACCAAACCTCAGGTGTGATAGCATCGATATTACCCAAAGTATATTTTGCTTTTTCGTGTCATCTTATGTGGGTGTTGTGTCGTGTTCGCTGATATCGAGGGGCGGAGTGTGCAGTCTCCAGCTGAGAGTACATAGTTGACCCTAAATGTATCCGTTGTATCAGCATATGTAATATATTACGCTTCTGGTTTTTAGTATGGAATTATGGTCTAGTTCGATGTTCGTACATTTATCTTTGCTGCTATATCAACAGATCTTGTCTAAAAACTGTAAATTCGCAATGTGACTACCTGATTCATTAGATCATACGTGGAAGTCACATCATGGTCTCGTCCTATATGACAATCAGCAGTCTTAACACATTTGGGCTAGGAAGAAAGTACAATGCTCAGCATAAAAGGCAAGAGCTTGCATAGATTTACATCATCTGCATGGTCGAGGAACGCCATTCCGAACAGTTATTCTCGCCTTAATTATTACTGACCTCTCAGCGTTAAATGTTGAATGTGATTTTTCGCAAACATCTTGTGTCCACTTTCGAGCCAATTTACTCCCCCAACTAATTATTCGTTGCCTTTCACGACGTAGTGACACCAGCGTAGTTCCGTCGCTTAGGCTACCTTGGATCAGTGTAACATTGCGGCTTTGAAGCAACCGTCACTGAACATCGTCACTCCTTCTGTTTTGTGTGCCCTGTCATCGCAAAAGTGTCATGTCTTTTATGTTCACTGCATCTTCCCTGAATTTAGTGGACAAACATGCTTAATTTAGAACTATGAGCTTCAAATTCGAACGAATTCACGTTTCTAATCTTTCTAATCCTTGCTAAAAAGAGATTGGATGATTTCTCTCTTCACATGATTTTCCTTTACAGAAGCATGTTTTTGGTGTAATAAACAGATTTTTGTTGGAGGTAGGTTAGTTGATTCGGTAAGAACCGGCCACTGAAGGATGTTTGCCTATTTAACGAGTTCCATTGGCGGTACAGTGGCCTCGGTGCCCTAAATCGTGGTTTATTAATTGAGATCAACTGAGAGTAGGGTGTGTCCTAATTTCCTCCAAATGCCGGGGTACAGCCGAGGGTGGGCAAAGTCAGCTACCTTTCTCGAAATACTCTCACGTCGCCACACGTATATAGCCACTACCAGGAAATCCCTAATCACTGTCTTCCCGCAGCATTACTTATGTTTACGAAACTGAGAAGACAAAAAGCCATCGCCCGGGGCTTTAGTCGGGTTGTTGGATTCTTAGGGAACAAAACGTGTATGAAGCAATTATTGTTGACTGGCTACCAAGAGGCTGCAACACCTGGCGTTGCTCCAATGTCTTGTGAATTAGACCTTTAGTTCAAACGGCCCCGTGCGTGGCCCCATAGTGAAACCACATGATTCGGCCTGGACACCCAAGCAGTATCACAGCCCACACAAATCAAGTGACCTGTGTACTCAATAAGCGTTCATAAGGCTAAGCATTAAGATAACTTCTCACTAATTTTAATTCGTCATAACTAAACTCACATGCTGCAGTTAACAAGACTGTATAATTTAGTATAACATACCGAATTCCTGGGTTCGAGTACCATATGTGGAATTGTGAGTATACACTGGTGAGGAGTTCCATACTAGGACGAAACGGCCGTCCAGTGCTACTGTAGAACTATGGTCTGCTTGGATATTAGTATTACTCTAATAATAGACCTAATCCTAAAATTGTAAATTTGTCACGACGTAACTGTCTCATCTATGAGATCATAATTGTCTACACCAACTCATTGCATCGCGATGTTATGCCAATGGTGTTTTCAAAGTTGGATCAAAAACGCAATTCTGTGTGCATTTAGGCGAAAAGTAGACAATTTAGCAACAAAGCGATAAAAAGGGGGAAATCCGCATTATTTCCCCCAGACAGGCGACATTTCCCCTTTATTGGTTGATTGGGCGTAACAACCACCAATATATAATGGAGAAGAAACTTAGGCCAGAGATAGAACAATATATTTAATATGAATATAATATAATGTTACAACACTTAAGAGTGACCACGCCTGCAAGGCCGTACCATGCCAACCGATCAATTCGAATTAATTCCATTCATTGTTCCCACCTACTCCATCGTTAAATTTTTCTCCGCGTTAAATGTTGAACATCTATCTTCACAAGTGTCTCGTGTTCAGTTTTGAGGATTGTATGGTTAGGTCCCAATGCCACTACACTATTAAGATTTTAATGGCAATCGAACATC